CTAGGATGTGCTCTTCTCGTTTTCCCTGAAGTTGAACCTTCCCATCGCAATTGCGAATACCAGAAGATGCTCCTTTGGGTCGGTATTGCCTTCGTCAGTGGGGACTTTTCCTCGTCCATGATCGGATATGTTCGCCTGATCGATCCGTACCGTGAAGGGGGTAGTCTGGGCCTCCTCGAGGAGCTCTGCTAGATACGCGATGTATCTGTGATCGCATATCCTTCATGTCAGAGACGGTTCGATCTAGTGCTGCCCGTATCCTGGCCAGCTCGTCTTCTTGAGCTTTGCTTTTCGCTGCATGCTCCTCGTCGAGCTGTGCTTGCTCCGCCCAGAAAATATTCTCCTCCTCCTCGTCTGCAAAATCTCGATCGCGCTCGAGGCGGGTATAGTTTCGTCGAACGTGGGCTTGGCCTTCGTCTCGGGGCTCGCGGTGATCGTTTGAGTCACGCTCGCCGCTCGGATAGCCGTCCAGATCTATCACTGGAGGTGTTCTGCCAGGTGGAGGTGCACTCGTCGTCATATTCGGCTCGGCGGTGCTGAAGTCAAGATGGGCTGACGGCGCTCCACGGGTCTGTGGTGTACCGGTCGGGGTAGAAAAGTTCAGGGCTGTCGGGTTAAAGTGTTCCGTGGATCTCCGTATTACGCCTGTTCCTCTGCACCGAGTTCTGCTTGCCTTGGCCGAGGTCCTTCGCTCGTCATCGATCGCCGCGTTTCGCGCATCTTGTTCTGCTGACTTCTTGAGCAACACCTCCATCATCTCCTTCATCTGTTTGAGGAATTCAGGCGTCGCCTCCGTTGTCCCAGCGGCTCGGTTCGCACTCGAGTCATCGGCATCTTTGTTCAGAGCTCCAGAATTGTCGGCGTCTTTGTTCTGAGCTCCGGAGTTATCTTCATTTTTGTCGACGCCGCTGTTTTGAGCCTCCACGTTCTTCTCTCCGGGTTGATCTCCTATGGGGGTTTCGAAATCGTTGCTGGTGATCATCTTTGCTAGATCTGCAGTCGAGTGGTTCTTTTTGTGTAAGAGATTCTCAGAAAGTGATCCCCTTAGACGGCGCTAAATGGTGGAGGTCAAAACCAACTCAATTGAATTTGTCAAGGGTTTTTAAGGGAAACGAGATCTCTGGGAAAGAATCACAAGAACAATCAAGAACAAAGACAAAAACACGGAAACTGCGTTAAGAAAGCTTTTATTTATTTTTGCTCAGTGTGTGTGCGTAAAGCCGCGGATCCCCTCTTCAAAGGAGTTACAAGAGTAAATATACAAGTCTAAGTCGGCTAGGTCTAACAACTAAGAGATAAGGATGTTTTCCGTATTCCTCGGGATTTTCTTTTTATCGTAGTCGGCGCTAGCCATGGGCTTTGTCGTCGTGGGCTAGACTTCGCCATCTCGCCACCTCGCCATCTTGGGCCTGCGTTTCTGGCCCAACTTCTTGTAGTCGGCCCATTGCCTAGCTCTTTAGGATGGTAGTAGTCGGCAAGGCTGTGCTCGGTGACAGATGGCAGAGATTGGCGGAAATGAGCATTTCTGGCGAGTTGTCCAGATCTCCAGAGTGTACTCGGTACTGTCCCATAAATGCCTACTTCCATACTTAGCCATTTTATCAAATAACTGTCGGAGGAAGTTTTAACCCTAACATATTTTTTGTTTTTCAAAATTAAATTTCGTTTGGTAAGGATTATATGAAACATAATTTTCGTTTGGTAAGGAGTAAGAACTAATGAATGAGTTAGTGTTGTGTGGTATTACTGAATTAAACATGCTAGTTAAATGTAAAGACGTGCCACAACACAACGAAGACGTGATAATCCGTGATACACAATGTTAGCACCTTCCTCCAAGGCTTCCAACATGCGAGTAGTTCAGATTTGGGCCGACTTTTAGGATTGGCCCACTAATTGATTCCTAAGTTTCATATGGTTTTTGAGTTTTCGGGCCGGACCTTAACTATTGGGCTAAATTGGAGCCACAACAAGAGATATTATTGAGTATTAACCACTATATAAAAAGTGTGTTTGTTTCAAACCATGAGTTAAAGTGATTCTTCAAACAGCGATTCATTTAGATAAAAAAGAGAGATGGATTATGGATGCATTAATTATGCGGTTCAAAATGTATAAACTCAAAATATTAGTCTATTAAAATCAATACTAACCAGTTATCTCAAACTTTTAAAAGTTTTTTATTAAATGGTTTATATATGTGGTTGAGTAATACAACATCTTGAATTTCTCCATATAATTAGATAATTATGTATATTTAGAAAACATCAAAATGATGCTTCGTTCCTAATAATACAACATCTTAATTTTCATAAGTGATGTTGACAGCCATTAATAATAATTTATTTGTTTTTTTTTCTTCAATGCAATCACAATGATTTTTCCATTGGAGGCTTTACTTTACTTGAGATTTTTGGCTGCACCGTTAACATAAGTTGTTTTAATTACAATTTTTTTTTTCTACGAAACAGAATTAAATGACATATTTTTAGTCAAAAAACTATAACATTAGAATTCATAGTGAAAATTAATTGTCAAATTAATAAGGGTAGACAACTGTTGAAATCGAGAGAGACGCATGGCAGCCTTTCAAGGACTTGGGTTTAGAAGAACCTTAAAATATTATATAAGATAGTGGATCTTTGAAGGATTTGGATGATATATGTGAGTTGTGTGGGGGCATCAGAGCATAACATTTTTCACCTAAGTCTAAAAGGATACTAGAAAATTTTCTCTATTCTCCATGTTGAACAAGAGATACTCTTATGGACGATGACATTTGATTTCCGTCTCCACGACAAGGATTGTTTTTGACACGGATTGTTTGAAACTAATCTTTACAGAATTAAGAGGAATGACCAATTTTTATGGTGAAGTTTGACTGTTTTGGGATGTTAAAGTCCTCCATTTTTTATACGAGTAGCTTCAAGTTTCTGACGAGTAGCGTCAAGTTGAATCTCCTTTGTAGCTCTCTGAGGAATTGACAACAAGAAATTTAGAAATTTGTAACCTTCTTAAAGATTAAAATTTACAGGAAACTAAAGTCACTTACCTCTTTATCTTTCTTGAGTCTGGCATGAAAAGAATACCCTTGACGTTTATCAACATGGATTTGCATAATTAAGTTGCCTATGACTTTTACAGTCTCATCAGATCCAATATCCTCAATCACATTTAGTATATCTCCAAATGTTTCATACTCCATTATGCGACCGGTAGCCGTTCCATAGACCTCCAGTACTTTGCTATCATTACGGCCAGAGCAGCGGCTAAAACTCTTGAAACAAAGATCTTCCAACTCTTTTGCAAATACTTCAGCTTGTAACTTCACCTTGCTCTGTCAAAATAAGCATTAGCTTCAAGGAAATTATAAGGTTATAACATTAGCTTCAAGGAAAGTAACTAACCGTTATAATTTGAATGGCATTCCGGATTTTGGTAACATTGTCTGGTGAAAAAAGTTTTTCAATGGTATCCTACAACAAAACACAACATTAAAACTCTCAGATTCAAACAAAACCCAATTAAAATTGATTCAAACAAGTACCTTACCTTAATGACAAGTTGATTTATGGTATAGATGTTGTCATCTCTAAGGATTCTGACAAGATTATTGCTTACAGCGTGGATGGATACTGGTTCAATGCAAAAAAATCACCAATCAAGATGCTTACATTTGTTACAATAAAATCACAAAACAGTAACGTACTTACATTTCTCAATAGGTATTTCATCTCCATCAATAACAACATTCGACTCCTCAGCTTGACTTGATGGCCCAATAATTTGAGTCCAAGGATCTACATCAG